AGGGCATGAGCAAGCCTTCCAGAGGCATTCGGATTGGAAAGCTTTGTTTGTAAAAGCACAGAGGACTTTGTACCTAAATATGTAAAAACTCGGCTTCATTTGACTGAAAATGAAAAAGAACTTTAAGCAACGATTGAAACGAGTTTATCAAGTCTTCGCGTGCTTTGAAAACAATGTAAAAGGCATTGTTTAGCAAACATTCTAAACCGTTCAGCAAGATAAATCTCAGAACACACTTTCCCTTGTAGTCTCCTCCTGTTGAATGCGGCTGCTGTTGTTGCGTTGGCTAAGACTAAACACAGCTTTTCCACTTAGAAGAGTTGTGTATAGACATCACTGTTTGGGTCATTACATGAAATCAGCTGTAGACATGACCTCATAGAAGTCTATGGAGATTAACTGCACTGACGTGGCCAGTGCAAGGATCTAGGGAGGATGGGGTACTTTAGGTGTAGGGGGAGGGCAAAAAATTATAAGGCCACTTTGTCTGAAATTGCACTAATCCTTTAAGCTGGCTATACACTGAGCTAATTTGGCCCAATTCCTAAAGACCCAGCTAAAATTCAATCCAATGGTGGACAAAAGTGGCTTTTGTTGAAGCAGTTGGTCCGAAAATTTGCGTAACAGTACTTGCTTCCAATGAGATGAAGCCACCGTCCAGGTCTATAGCCGGCAGTGGGGATTCTTCCATCCGCGCTGCTTAGCATAGCTGGGGAATGGATAGATTTCTCTCGTTCTGCCCCTGGGGATCAATGGATTTCCGCCCCTGGGGATCAATGGATTTCTCTGGCTTGCCACTCAAAAATCAATAGCATTTCTCTTGTTCTGCCCCTAGCACTTAGAGGTGCAGCGAATTAGAGGTGTTCATATTCAGTCATAACTTGTGGAGATAGTGTGTTTACCATATCCACAATAATGAATAAATAGGAATTGATGTAGATCACTTCCCATTCATTCATAATTGGGGACACAGTAAACATACAATGTTCTCAATTATTGACACACACTCAGCGATCACTGATCACTAAGTGCTTGCACCGCTCTCCATCCTGACTCACTGTCGCAGGAGGCTGAGCGAGTGGTGTGGGGAGGAGAGCTCGGTCTCCTGTGACAGCTGACTCCTCTCTCGCACTGCCGGCCTGGCCTGACAGCTGTCTGAGCCCCCACTCCTCTCTCCATCCTGATCTGTCACAGGAGGCTGAGTGGGGCAGTGCAGGAGGAGAGCTCGGCCACCTGTCACATGCCGGTCACTCACACCGCTCTCCACCCCTGCACTGTTCGGCCTCTTGCGACAGTTTTTCTCCTCTCGCTGGATGCTGCGCTGTGTCAGAGAAACCAGGCATGCAACGCAATTTCGGCCGAAAGATGCCACTTTCAACATTTTGCCAAATCTGCCTCTCGATCTGCCCCTAGGAATCAATAGATTTATCTTATTCTACCCCTGGTCTGAAAGATCATAAAGAGGACCTGTCACATTATATTTGCTATAACATAGGGGGCTTGTTAGCTCCCTATGTAAATATAAATGTAAATATAAACAACTGGGCGGAGCTAGCGGTGACATCACCGCTAGCTCTGCCCAACTGTTTTCAATTGGCCGGCACCTGCCAGAGTCTTTTAGCAGGTCCCGGGCAATAAATAACAAGTGGGCGGAGCCAGCTGTGATGTCACGGCCGGCTCCCCCCAGTTGTTATTGTTTAATGACAGATCAGCGCCCCCAGGTCATTTGGGGGCGCTGATCTGCCATTACAACTGGGCGGAGCGAGTCATGAGATCACGGCCGGCTCCGCCCAGCTGTCACTTGTGTGGAGATCGGTCGGCTTTGGCCGACCTTTCTCCACCTGTCACTACAACTCAGCCGAGCCGAAGTATATGGGTTCAGCTCGGCTGAGCCGCTCGGCTGCCTTTGGCTGCTGTACGGGCTATAGTGAATAGCCCGTACAGCAGCCCTTCAGTTTGACTGAACCGAAGGGCTCCGGCAGCCGAAGTGAGCCGAAGGATCAGCCAAAGCTGGATCCTTTGGCTCATATGTGAATAACCCTGTAAGTGTTATAATGCGCTGTAACACATTTTAGGAGACTTCCTTTTTTTAACGGGGGTATTTCACATGTATGCATTGTGTCAGCATTGTAAAAAAGTTGTTGCTTTTTTAGTGCGTCAGTGTACCCATAACAGACAATAGCAGCACATAACCTATGTTATATTATAACCTATGTTTCATGAGCTGTCAATGGATCACAAAGCTTGTTAAAGTGTATTTAAAGCCAGAGCAGGGAAGGTTTAAAACCTCTGCAAAACTTTTATGAAAGGAGAACTATGAGGTGAGTGATTTCCACTCACCTCATAGTTCTAGCCGACCTGTGACAATGAGACTGTCACAGGTCGGCTCAGTAGATCGGGAGGTGAGCGAAGACATACCGGCGTTCGCTCACCTCTCGATCCTGTCACGGCTCTCTGCCGTGACAGGAGAGGGGCTGGATTACCCCCTCCCCGCTCCGCCAGCGCTGATGGACAGGGGAGGGGGCGGGTACAGCTGGCTCTGCCTCTAGATAGGCAGAGCCAGCTGTCAGTCACGCAGCTGGGCAAATCCAGACATAATTGTTGGGATCCGCTTCAGCTGCGGCGTCTTAGTATACCGCGAGCAGCAGCTCGCGGTATACTGCGGCGTCTCAGTATACCGCGAGCTACAGCTCGTGGTATACTGAGCCTAGGGTGACGGGGGGACGCTAGTTTGTGTCCTCCCGTTACCCCAAGGAGAACTATGGGGAAAAGCCTTAACCCCATAGTTCTCCTTTAAGGACATTCACCCCCTCTATTTGTCCTTGATCCACAGGTGTAGAGGCAGCCTGATAGTTTCCACACCTTGCAGCAGATTTCTATAATAGAAGTTTCAATGCCTGGACCTCATCACATACACTTGACAGCAGGGGTGGGCAAACTCCGGCCCTCCAGCTACAACTCCCATGAGGCAATGCCAGATTCTCGCACCCACAGGCAAGACTCCCAGAGACAGATGCATCATGGGATTTATAGTGTCACCACAGTGGGAGGGTCAGAGTTTGCCCGTCCTTGCTGTAGAGAAACATTAAAGTATTCCCATCAACTCGAATGATTTACTTTGGCTGCTTAGTTTTAAAGCTGAATTCTAGGATAAGCAAATATTGTCCTCATACAAGAGTTGTGTGTATCCTTCCTTGAATCCCGGTGAGCTTTGTGTATTTCTTCCAGATCTGTGCAGTAATCCAGTGTGACACTTACTGTAATAAAGACCAGTCACTGCTGATCTCTATCCTTGTGCAGGGTGACTGGTCTCGTCTCCACCCCCTTCTTTTGTTTTCTGCAGACAACCTGTGGTGGGTGGAGCCTGCTGGGCCCCTCCCACAGCTCTGCTGTCTGCACAGGCTATGTACAGCACAGTGATGATAACACTGCTACTTTTACAAAGTAATATCAACGTTTGCAAATGCATTTGGTGCACACAAAGTGCATTTTTTCTGAGGAATATATTTAAAAGAAACTTTTTGTGCCCTCAGTTCAGCTTTAAGAGCAGAAACTCCCCCCAGCTACCCTTCACAAGATTTATTGACATAGCTTCAGAATATGGAATAGCAGAAATTCTACAAATAATAGAATTTATATTATTCTAAGATATATATAGATTAGGGATACACCAATACTTTTCGAGTACCAGTGCGGATACTTGGCATTTTCATGAGAACTACAAGGGTTGCAGCGGTTGCAGCTGGGACCTGGCTCTGGTGCTCCCCCACTGTCCTGAAATCATTACTCGATATTGTTTTTAAAAAACTGTCACATGACAGTGAAAAAGAGAAGCTGATTGGTTGCCATGCACAGCTGCTCCAGATTTTGTCTGCTCCAGTTTTGATAAATTCCCTGAACTGTATACACAAACACAGATAAATGTTTCCATTTAGAAATGCTCATTAAGGACAACACGGCACTGACTGATCCTTCCTATATCAGCAGAGATAAACTGCAAACCGTGAGCTGGCCATACGCTGGTTGATTTTCAGCCCTGGTGACTGTGCTGAAGATCTGAGCGGTATGTGACCCCGTCGACCCCCTCTTAATTTGGCAAAAGTCGATTTTCCAGTTGACTTTAGTCAAAGGAGCTGGTCTGAAAAATCCTGGCATTACAGTGACTGCAATCGATCGTCTGTAGTCACCATTGGGGTATTATGACAGCAGCATGTCCTCTATGACCAGTGCGGAGGGGGGTGGGGGGCAATCCCCTCATGTATGCTGTTAGGGAGTTGAGAGATTTTTCCCATAAAGCACAGTGTATGGACAGCTTAAGAAATCCCCAATTGACTCAAAGTGGTCACAAATTGCTCCCTTTATGACGTCATGCATGTCACGTATATAATTATTATTATAATACAGAATTTATATAACGCCAGAAGTTTTCCCAGCGCTTTAAAAAACGGTGTCACCCATATGATAGAGCCACATGCATACCTCCCGATTCATTGGCAGGTAAAGCCTTTGGAGATTCGACCTGGAAGGTGTGATCCCTGATTGATCCCTGATCCCTTCTCCATCAATGTACAATCATCTTCTGGTAATAGCTACTTTTACTTTCATGATATATGCTGATAAGCCGGCACAAAGTATTCCGACATCAGCGACCTATAGCGACTACTCGCGGTTTGCCTTCACTTATTGGCCATCAGTACCTTGCTATGGATTAACATGACTAGTATATCATTAATTGCACTTACCTATTAACTCCGCACTCGGCAGCTCCTAATCCAGATGTGCCAATCCTTAACCCTTTCCTCTACTACAGGGGTGCTCAACTCCTGCCTTTTACCTGTGCTTTAACTACAAATCCCATCACATCTCTGCTTCTGGGAGTCATGCCTGTATCTGTCAGTCTTGCAATGCCCCCAGGGACTTGTAGTGCCACAATAGCTGGGGGGGGCTGAAGTTTCCCACCCGTGGTCTACGGGGTGAAATGTCTTGATGAAGGTTCTTACCTGAGAAGCGTTACGGCGGTCTCTGGAGTCGCAGACCCCGAATTACCTGTTCTCTAATAGGCAGACTAGTTTTTGAGCAGGGGGTGGGGGGGAAGAATGTGGCCGGGGAGGAGGCAGAGGAGGAGGCTGGAAGCAAGTCTGCTGGGGGACAGTGTGAAGGTCAAATCTATTTCTCTCAAGGAGTGGCTGAAGTTGGGCAAGTTAATGAGTAATCCCCTCCCGAGTGTTTGGGCATTTTTTACGGGGAATTACGAGCGTGCAGAACAAGTTATTCTCACACTGACACTTGTTAGTTCACTCAGGTATTCCATGACGGGAGGAAGAGAAGCTGGCTGGTCAAGATAAGGGGGAAAAAAGCGAAGCTCTGCACACCGCCAGTCAAACGCCAGAAATACCGACAGCGGCGGACAGGTCCGCAGATCATTGGTCAGGATGTACCGTGATAAAGGTCGGCCGAGAAGTGTCAATTAAATGGATTCAATTTCCTAATGAAAAAGTTTTTTTTTTTTTTAATGTCATCTGTGATGTAATTCGCGGGTGCCCACCACAAATTGGATTGCCCGTTTTGGGTGGGCGCAGTGTGTGACATCACACTTAAAGGAGAACTCTGCAACCACTCTATAATACATCTTTGATCGTAACTCAGTTGTATTGCAATTTAAATGGAAACTTTGCTATGTTTGCTATTGTTTATAGCAGGGGTGGGCAGCTTTGGCACTGAAGTTGTGGTGAAACTACAAATCCCAGCATGCATCTGCCTCTGGGGGTCAAGCCTGTGTCTCTCAGAGTCTTGCAATGTCTAATGGGATTTGTAGTTGTACCACAGCTGGAAGGCTGGGGTTTGCTTACTCCTGAGCTATAGTATAACCCTTTGCTTCTTCCCTGACAAGTACATAAAAGGGTAGGGAGGTGAATGGAGGGGTGGAAGAGTCTTGCTATGCCTCCCCTTTAACCCAGGGGTAGGCAACCTAGGCACTCCAGCTGTGGTGACACTTCAAACCTCATCATGCCTTTGCATCTGGGAGTCATGCCCGTGGCTGTCAGACTTTTGCTATGCTTCACCCCAGAGGTAGGCAACTTCGGCACTCCGGCTTTGGTGAAGCTACAAATGCCATCATTCATCTGCCTCTAGGAGTCATGTCTGTGTCTGCCAGAGTCTTGCTATGCCTCACCTTTAATCCAGGGGTAGGCAACTTCGGCACTCCGGCTTTGGTGAAGCTACAAATGCTTTGTCTCTGCCTCTGGGAGTGATGCACATGGCAGTCAGAGTCTTGCAATGCCTCATGAGACTTGTAGTTCCACAACAGCTGCAGTGCAGAGAGTGCCTACTCCTGGTTCATAGGGTCAATGCTGAGACTTATACACCTATGGAAGACACCTGTGTGTGGTCACTCCTCTCTCGGCCATCAGAGGAGACAGTGGTCAGGGCAGGTACAGAGACAGCATTGCTCCCACCGACTCCCAGTGATATTAAAGTGGAACTTCAGGAATTGCTTGGTTCAATGTAAGTATCCATATCTGATATCTGGAGGGCCACTGGGGATTCTAAAAATCACTTTAGTAGTCACAGAATGAAAGTTAGTTAGTTGTTATAGAATAAAACATGGTCCCAAAGGTCAAATACATAGAGAGAACTGCTCTACCCCCTTCAAGCCAAATTTACAGATGGAACCTCTGTGCCTGGAAAGGTCTCTGCCGGACCCCATGCATGGTCCCAAAGGTGGACTATGCCTTTTAGCAGCTTTGTACTTATATGTTCAGTTTCAATTGCCCGTATTTTTACCAGGTTTAATTTATCAGCTCTGCCATGGAATACCAGGATATAAAGAGCCTTGCCATGGACCCAGCAAAATCTGCTTTTTTAAGCTCTAAAGAAGTTAATCTTTAGACCAGAGTTCTGCTTCAAGTAAAACAGGTGACTTCATTTCCATACAAAGTGCTACTGAAGATAAACAGTGTAATAGGTCGCCATCTGGTGGTGGAATGGAGGCACTACAAGCAGTGATAAAGCAAGGACTAAGCAATAGAATAATGTAATATTGAAGTAAAAAATTAGTCAAGGCAACTGGACTTGCTGTATTTTTCTTGAAGACGTTTCACTGGTCACTGGTCACTGATGACCACTTAAAGCCCTGGAGGAATTTGCCAAAAAATAAGATATTTAAATGTTTCATTAATATAGGAGGGCCAACAGTGGTAGTGAAAGTTCTATTCATCTATATAATACAAATAAATCAGCCATCTTTCTTTCTCAATCAGTTCACTTACGGATATAGTACACACCTTGCAATAGAACCACTCTTAAAGAAGAACTCCAGATGAAGAAAACAATTTGTTTTTGCATATGATCGTTTTGTCTAGCCCGCTCAAATAAAGTTGGATTGCTCACCTGATCCTCGGTCCTGCGGCAGTGGTCAACGCTCACTCTCTCCCCTCCGTTCTGGCTAGGGCATGCCCCTCGGTGTCCTCAGGTCTCATGCAAGTCAATGGATCTGCATAAGAATTGAGGATGTCAGTGGTCCCTGGAGCCCTCGGAAGAAGATACTACAGAGACCAGTCTAGCAGCCCGGAGGAAGCTGGTGGGATCAAGAATCAGGTGAGTATATCTGCTTTATGTGATCCCCTTTGACTAGACAAGCACTGAACCCCTGCAGTGCGGGGGTAGCACCGCTGCAAGTGTAAGTTTTTTGTTTGCCGGAGTTCTTCTTTAAATTCACCAGACAAGAGGAGAGTCTTTAGAGCGGAATGTTAGTTAAAAAAATATGAGAACATTTGCATGCCTCTACTGTTAAAAAAGACCCCTTCCCTTCTCTCCTGGCAATTTTGAAATAGTGTTCACTAGGGATGCACCGATACCGTTTTTTCGGTACTCGCCGATACTGGAAGTCCAATTAAGGAAGCCGGGTGGCATGTAATGACTCGCCGCCCGGCTTTCTGATTAGCCAGGAAGCCGACTCCATGCTCCCTTGTCACCAGGTGAGGAAGCATGGAGCCAGCTTTCTAGCAATCAAGAAGCCGAGGGGGTGGGTAATGACTCAACACCTTGTCTTCCTGATTGGCCAACTTCCTAACCAATCAGGAAGCCATATGGCGAGCCATTACACGCCGTCCGGCTTCCAGATTGGCTCGAGGAGCCGGCTCCATGCTCCATCACCAGGTGGGGGCAGTTGGCCAATCAGGAAGCTGGGCGGTGAGTCATTACACGACATCCAGCTTCCTGATTGGTTGGGAACCGAGCTCCATGCTCCCTCATCATTACCGGACAATCAGGAAGCTGGATGGCGTGTAATGACTTGCCGCCTGGCTTCCTGATTGGTTGGGAAGCCAGCTCCATGCTCCCTGGTGACGAGGGAGCATGGAGCCAGCTTCTTGGCCAATCAGGAAGCCGAACGGCGTGTAGTTACTCGCCACCCAGCTTCCTGATACCGGTAGTTCCGGTACTGGGATAAGTATCAGGGGCATTTATCGGCTCCGATACTGATACTAGTACTGGTATCAGTGCGTCCCTAGTGTACAGAGTCTGTGGCATACGCACGGACATGCTTTCCAATACTGTCACTTGATAATTATGGAGATGTAAATCATAACTGGATGACGTTTGCTAAGGCACTGAGTATCACGTAGAGTATATCAGCATTGCCCTGCAAGAGCTACAGATTGGTGGTACGAAGACCAGCTCAAGGAGGTAAGTATAGCCATTTGGGGAGGGTGGACTAGACTTACTTAGGTGAGTGGGGCAAAAGGGTTTGGAAACTTTGTAGGAAAGCTATCTTAAACTTTTTAAAGTATTTCTGAAGCCCAAACTTTTTTTTTTTTTTTAGGTTTGGGTGGAGTGAGAAATGGTTAGACCCTCCACCACTGTTACCCATGTCCCCACTAGAGAGATTTACCATCTTTATTTGTCCTGGTGATCATGGTCAATGGGACAGGAAGTGATCCCAAATCCAAAATTCTACATTTGTCACCATAATAGGAACAGAGGGGAATTCTTCCAATGGAGACACTTTTTCCACACCCTGTTGTGTCTTTGGGACATGAAGTGGAGGGAAATCTGCCAAAAACTGACGCGTTTTATCGCATCTATCCTCTATCCAAAACCAAGTCAGATTTTTATTAATCATACTCACACATATATTTCCAACAAACATAACTTTATTTATTTATACAACTCACTAAACTATGACCTTTTATACTGGAAACATTCATCATTAAGGTGGGAGGGGGGTGGTTGGGAGGTGTTATTAAAGGGATGTGACAGAATTGTAAAACCACAACCTTCTCGATCCAGCAGTGGGGCTCAGTCTGTGCAGTCCTCGGTGTTCTTAAACATAAGGATGGAATTGTAAATTTTCACAGCTGGCCCCAGTTTAATGCACAAAATCTTGACAATGTCCGTCTGTGTGAGCAGCAAGAGGGCTTGTCCGTCTATCATCTGTAGGGTAAAGCAGAGGTTGGGGATTAGCAAGCTACTGGGACCTGTACATGAACAAGAATGATTGTTCTGTATGACTGATTCTGATTGTTTAGGAAAGTTTGCTGTGTATGGGTCGGCCAAGTTTGGATCCAGTTAATATAACCAGAGCCAACGGATCACTCTATAGTATATGGCAGGGACCACCACAGGTTGACCAGAGTGTAGCAAAAGCTGACACCTTTCGGGGGCAATCCCCCCTTCCTCAGAGCTCTGAGGAACTCTGGTAAACTCCGGTCAACCTGTGGTGGTCCATCTTCTGTACGGCCCTGCTGAGTGTCATGTTTGTCCAATGGTGCACATTTACATGCTTAGATCTTCCATACTTATGTGAGTAGCCAGCTGCTCTTTGGTTTTTATCTAATTTACAAATAAATAGTATTGTACTAGGAAGATGTCTTTTTGTTTTGTTACATGTTCTCAAGGAAGCATCCCAATATCCTTTTTAAAGGCAACCTTCCAGAGTGGTCCTGTCTGTGAAGATTAGTGATTGGGGATTGGCTTTAGAACACCAAGCGCAGGATTTTCAAAATTTGCCTGGCTAGTGAAGCAAAGATGGTGAACTGAATAGTAAATTCTGATTGGTTAATATGGGTTATTGAGCTTTGTACACCATTATTGTTCCTGGAGTATGAATCATGATCATCCAGCC